GAGGAGAAAGATAAAAAGGCAATCAACAGACTCTGATAGACGCTATGGGACCATCTCCCTTGGGAGAAGCCTTTCCGCCAGGGTTTTCTTACTATTTAGGTCCTTTTTTCCTATCTTGGCATGGGGATTCGAGAGAAGATCAAGAGTTTCGAACAAGCACGCAAGCCTGAAAGCATGAGTTTCCAGCGATCGAAGTTCAAACTTGGCCCGTGGGAAGGACAGGAAAGAGGGAAAGCCTTCTTCTCAATGAGCTGTATCCATTATACAATCACCGGGCTTTGCCAAAGACAGTCCCAGTCAAGGGGTGTGTAGCAAAGCATCCACCGAGACTAGATTGGAAGATAGTCATGTGCTCTATGAAAGCAATCGAACATCATGTGTTAAGCATATGAGATGGCTAGCCGGGCAGTTCCATCATAGTTCGTGACAGGGTGGAAAGGATATATGATCTTACTTTACGATTGAGGTCTTCTTTCTCCTCTTCTTCACCGGGAACCCCTATTTCATCAACCAGACGGACAATGGGAAGCGTCTGAGCTCTACTCTACTAGACTATATTGGGCGAGCACGGGAAGTGGTCACACCTGCCAGCTTACCTTCATTGTAGACTCTTTTTTTATTGGGGAGGAATGAAATGCTACCAATCTAAGAGGGCCTTGTTGGAAGAAAGGGATAAGGTTTGCATCGTCGCTAGCGAATTCCGTCCAGTAATGGAAGTAAAGAGGTGATAACGCTAGCTTCAAGACTGCAACGAAGATCTGGTCATAGCCAAGCCATTGTCACTTAGCGCATCCGAAACTCTCGTCCATAGAGATGGCTTCTCTCGGCTATCAAAGTGAGTTGGCATTCTTAAGCCAAGCCGGAGAAAGCCAGTGAGGTTCCAACTCCGCCGGAGACTTGCTTGATTGATCAGATTGAGCCTTGCCCAGAAAGTGGAAAGATGCTTTATTCCAACAAGAAAGGGAAGGGCAGAGGGGATAACTGACTCGATCAGCATAAGCAATCCTTCCCACCGTAGTCACAACACAAGGTAAACATAGGGAAAGAACTGTGGCATTCCTGCTTCCACATCACATCTTTATCAATTCAATTACCGAGTTGCTTTCCAAATTCCTCCATCCCCAAAACTGGAACTTGCTCTTAAGTTAAGCTATAGTACTTTCTTACCTATTATTAATTAGTAGTAGAAAGTTCCACTCTTAAAGAATAAATAAGATAAGTTACTGGCTACACAGACTAGATTGACTGCCACTGACTGGCTTCCTTAGGAAAGAATGATAGAATACCAGAGGTAGTAAAAACTAGACCATGCCTCTATGATGCCAAGAATTCGACTTAGGGGCTTGGGGAGGCTTAAGATGAATGAGGCCGAAGAAGGTTCAACTAACCCTTAGATTCGGGAATAGGAAACTAGCAGTAAGGGTATTACGCTTCAAGAGAAGTGGAACTCACTCGAATAGAGAGAGTCTAGGCTCACTCACAGGTCAAGGGCTAGTATAGCAAAGAGGCTTTCAATTCCCGCAAAGCAAGTGGGAAAGAAAACTAATTTCCGTGAGCATTAAACTCCTGTATGGTCTTTACCGCTTGGGAACCTCAAAGCTGCTCTATGGCTCGCTGGAGTTAAATCAAGTGATCATATTAAGCCTTCTTCGGCTGATGAAAGTACTAACTTCCCTTGAGACTGAGATTTTTGTTTTCAGTTCAATTGTCATATATTCTTACCCTGAATGGAAAGGCATTCTGTATCTTTATGAAGTTAACTAAATCGATTAGGTCATACTACTGGTCGGGTACTTAAACTTAAGAATCGGCTCTGTCGCTTCTAGCTTGCAGTAAAGTTGCCTACCCGCAAACCCTGCCCTTAGGACTAGGTTGGAAACTCCCAAGAGGATGGAATGAAACTGGCTTGAAAACGGGCTTGCTCACTCGCTTTCAAGACGGAAGAATGAAAGGTTTTGCCTTGCTTGCTGCTTGCTTACTAGAAAAAGCGGTAATCTGACTTTATATTCATTCTCAATCTTGAATTCCTAGTTAGAACTAAGAAACCAATGCTTTCCTCCTTTTCGCCAGAAAGCCCTCTTTCAGCATGAAACCCATGTAGGATGGGATAGTCACACTCAAGCAGTGATTAGCGATTAGAGGAATATATAACTATGCAACAGCGGATATGCCTACTTTCGGATTCACTGTAACAAGCCGTTTTTCAACTTGCTTTGAAAACCGTCCTCTTAGTTGTAAACTAGTCTGAGAAGGGTCAACGTAGATAACATTAGGCTGAGCGCAGCCATTAGAAAGACCTCGAGATTCACCGAAGAAAGACCGGAACCTTTTACAAAACTCAATGAGCAGAACGCTTCGGAACGGGATAGAAGAAGGGGGGAGATTCTCGAACCGAACTAGGAAACGGATCCAATGACTTCAAAAGAATTAAACGAGGAGCCATATGAAGTGAAAATCTCATGTACGGTTCTGTAGAGTGGCAGTAAGGGTGACTTATCTGTAAACTTTTCCACTATTACACCCAAAAAACCAAACTCTGCCTTACGTAAAGTTGCCAGAGTACGCTTAACCTCTGGATTTGAAATGACTGCTTATATACCCGGTATTGGCCATAATTTACCAGAACATTCTGTAGTCTTAGTCAGAGGGGTAAGGGTCCTTTCTTTTGTTGTTGCACTGAATTGCTTATCAAAGCGAAGAATCGCTCGATCAAGTAACAAATCAAGCCAGCGAGTGGAAGTGGAATAGTCATGCGAGTCTATTTTGCTTATGAGTCTCTTTTCCTGGCCTCACTAGGTATGAAAAAACAACCACCGCACCGGATGTGAACCTTTTTCTAAAGCGGAATTAGGCTCATCCGACGAAAGATTTTTTTTCCATTGACACAGGTCGATTCCTCTTTATTTATGGTACAACCGAGCTCCTTGTAGGTCTTCCAACTCGAGCAATCAGAAGCAAACGCATCGCCCGCTACGGGCATTCTCTTGAAGCTTAAAAACGAAGTGTTTCATCGGCCCGGCTCAAAAGCTGTTGGTGACTGGGTTCCCTGCGGGGCTTTTACAGTTTTTCTTCCGTCACTCCCAACCTGTTCTTCTTCGACCGCGAGTGAACCATAGCCTTTTACCGGAGATAGCCTTTTAGATAACCAGGTCTTTTTCTTTATTGCCAGGAGCTGTAAACAACATCTTATTTTTGTTTACAGAGCTTAGTCCTTATTCTCTTCCTCTATCTAAGTGAAGAATCTCTTCTTCAATCGATGATTCTTCTTCGCCGAGTTCAGACTCGCCAAGAGTTGTTCGAATCCCAGGAGAGTTTTCAAGTGGTCAAGCAAGTCTGAAAGTCATCGGGTAAGGTTTTAGAGTTCCAGGTTAAACGTACTAAATCTTATTAGCTTATTGCCATCGGAGTGAAATCCTGTCCAGAAGTTGTGAGAGAAGGATTAGTTCGTGTCTGTGTCAAGGGGACGGGTGACCCGACTTCCATAGGTCAGAGCTGTCTAACCTCTGTTGTGTTGTTATAACCTAGTCTGACTCGTTCTTACCTCCCTGCCTGTTCTCCTTTCTTTCTTTTATGAGAATACTTGCCGCCTCTGCTCTCAGTAGTTATGAACCCTGTAGACCATCCGCATGGGGGTGGTGAAGGGAGGGCCCCAATTGGTAGAAAAAAACCCGCAACTCCTTGGGGTTTTCCTGCACTTGGGAAAAGAAGTAGAAAAAGGAATAAATATAGTGATAATTTGATTCTTCGTCGTCGTAGTAAATAGTAGAGAAAATTGAAATTGTTTCTTCGTCTTTACAAGAAAAAGGAGTAATTAACTGTGACACGTTCACTAAAAAAAAATCCTTATGTAGCGAATAATTTATATTTTTTTATATGAATGGGCGAACGACGGGAATTGAACCCGCGCATGGTGGATTCACAATCCACTGCCTTAATCCACTTGGCTACATCCGCCCTTATACTATACAAGAAAGATTTCTACCTGAATTTTTAGCCTTTATTAATTCTTTTTTTGTTCTAAGATAGCCAAATAAAAAAGAGAGAGACATTAATATATATATATATATATTATTTATATATTATTTGGACATAATAAATAAAGAATGCTAAAAAATCTTGAAAAAAACGTAAAAATAGAAATGTATAAAATTATATGTATAAATATTTCTAAATATTTAGACTACTAATACTAATAAAATAAAAAGTAAAGGAGCAATATGAACTTTGTTCATATTCTCCTTTACTTTCAAAAACTAGTCTACTTTAATTTAACATCCAAATTTTATCCATTTATAGATGGAGCTTCAATCACAGCTAGATCTAGAGGGAAATTATGAGCATTACGTTCATGCATTACTTCCATACCAAGGTTAGCTCGGTTAATAATATCAGCCCAGGTATTAATTACACGACCTTGACTATCAACTACGGATTGGTTGAAATTAAAACCATTTAAATTGAAAGCCATAGTGCTGATACCTAAAGCGGTAAACCAAATACCTACTACAGGCCAAGCAGCTAGGAAGAAATGTAAAGAACGAGAATTGTTGAAACTTGCATATTGGAAGATCAATCGGCCAAAATAACCATGAGCTGCTACAATATTGTAGGTTTCTTCCTCTTGACCGAATCTGTAACCTTCATTAGCAGATTCATTTTCTGTGGTTTCCCTGATCAAACTAGAAGTTACCAAGGAACCGTGCATAGCACTGAATAGGGAGCCGCCGAATACACCAGCTACGCCTTTTCAGAAAGCCCTTCTTCCAAGAAATTCAATAGCAGCTCTTCCTCCAACGGATTCAACGGCATCGGAGTCGTTGGCAGCAACAGCTGCTAAGACCGCAGAGGACCCTAAACCAGAACAGCAAGACCAACGAATATGACCAAAAAGGCCTTGTCACGAGCTGGATTCGAACCAGCACCTCTGGGAAAAGCACACACATACCCAGCCGAACTACCCTTCATTCTGATCGTGACTTTTGTTAACCCGGTTCGTCTTACTTATACTGGACTACATCCGGGCCGCCTTTGATTTGAGACTCGTTTATAAAAAAAAGAAAAAAGGTGACTATAGAAACTGTCCTACATATTGGACAGCATCTATATAATATGGGCTCTGAATGCCCAGCTCTTGGAGGGAGTTGACTATGGATTCGAGTAAGGTCAAATCTTCACAGTCGTTATGCAGGTGGTCGGCTACCTGCTGAATAGTCAGTCCCCCAGGCAAGGCTATCTCCTGAAAACTCAATAGATTTTCCAGTTTAGTGCATATGAGTTCTTTCAGGGAGTCAAATGTAAAATCGGACAGCCGTTCCTCCATATTCTCTTCAGTTAAATTTCGGAGGCGACGCCCAGCCCGAAAAGCTACGTAAACGGCAAGAGTGAGTGATAGCCCCGTGGAGACTATGTACTGCACGATATCCAAGTCTGAGGGTTGCATGATTGATTGAGAAAGTCTCTCTCAGGTTACCCACTCTCCCTTCCCCACCCCAGTAGGGGTGGGCCTTGTCCTCTTCCGGAGAGACTACACCTTTCAAAAGGAGAAACTTAGAAAACAAATAGAATCAAAAAGGCCATCATTAATGCGAACAAGGCAATAGCCTCGGTTAGAGCAAAGCCCAGGATTGCATATCCGAATAACTGTTTTGCCAATGATGGATTTCTTGCCACGGAATGAATTAATGAACTGAAGACGTTTCCAATACCTACAGCAGCTCCCGCTGAAGCAATTGTAGCAGCTCCGGCACCCATTGATTTTGCACCTTCTAACATCTCGAATTGAGAAAGTCTCGTCACGCTCTTTCATTCACGATTTTATGTTCTCGTCGCTTCTTCCCCTCGTTCCTGGCATTCATTAGGTAGGAGTCTGGTTGCCCCATTAGCGTGGATGCTGCTCCAGGGCCTTTAAAACCCGAAGATAGACGTCGCTTTCTCCTGGATTGTTTAATTCTCCAAGCAGACGTTGGAAGTCTTCCCTGGTGGCACCCACTTCAGCGGTCGTTTCCTTGCCCTCCAAAGCAAGGCGTTGTGCGATATCCTTCCATGTCAAGGGGTCTCTGGACTGGCTTTTCGAGAAGGATTCTAGAATAATCGCACACTTATCTCGAAGATCGTTGATAGTATCCGAGGGGGACTCCTGGGGAAGATCAACGTCTTCTATCCAGTTGGAAATAGTAGGTTCCAGTTCGGGAATCACAGGCTGCTGATTCACGCTCGCTTCGGAAAAGGTTGAGGATTCACGTTCCTCTGCAGGATTGGCAGCAGGTTCCACATTAGAAGGACCTACATTCGACGGCCCCGCGTCATTCCCACCAGGCACTTGGTTTACGCAGGATTCCGAACTTGATGCGCCGGAAGAGGGAAGGATTCCCCCATCCGAAGCATACATAATTAGCAAACCAGAAAAAGCAGCACAACTACTAAAGTTAGAAACTAAGTAGACGCGAAAAAAATAGAAAAGGGAATAAATGCAAAATATAACTGATATATACACAAAAAGAAAACATTTTAATCCATACTTCTTACGAAGACGAATACCATAAAGACGAAAAAGAAAGAGAAATCCAAGAATCATTATTGCAAAAAGCACGAGATTAACACTAGTGGTCATTATAGCGCTTCCTTCTGATCCTAGAAAACGTCCGAAAAAACCTGCAAAGGAACTACCGATAAGGGGCAAAAATACGATAAGTAGATACATAATTTATATTCCATTCTTTTCTTTTGACCGGAGGAATGCCGCAAACAAAAGGGCCGGGGACGGGGGTGGCTTTTCCTTCCCATTTGAGTAGGAGAAGGAGTTACCCCAGAGCGATCAGTAGGTTGATGTATTTCCAAGTCAACCCCCCCAAAAAGAAGACTTAAAACGTATCGAAAGACCTTTTTCGACGGCGAATTTATCTAAAGCCTTTCTATCTTTCCGATTCAAAAAGCTATGATCAAATAGATCAAAGAGAGGCAAAGCAGACCGTGAAAAAGCATCCAAACTAAGAAATCTCGGTTTCCTTTGTCCTCGGGAAACAGGCTCAGAAAAAAGTCTATCATAGATAGGATACGAATAAATAAAAAATGTAGGGGAGTAATTCAAATGTTATAACAGAGCCCGAAGGGCTTATATGTACGACGGAACTAACTCTGAACGAAAGATAGATCAACCAAGCCATTGAAATGACTCTTTCGATCAGAGCAGAGAGAACGAGAACTACACTTTGAGAAGGCAGGCTCCAAAATAGAACTGAAGTGACCAAAGAAAAAAAGCCAAAAACCTCACTTTCTTCTCTTACGAAATTTCTAGTTAAGTTAGAAGAAAGGCATGGGAGAAAGAATTCAAACAAAGCATGATTTTCGATGCGATATCTGACTCGGGGGCGAACACCCCTTTTATGCCCGTCGCCTGTGTTGAACGGGATAGATTACATTACAAATGGAGCCTTTGAGTAGGAACCACGTGTTGACACCCTTGTTGGGGGATGAAGTATTAGTTAGCGAGATTTGTGCGTTAGGCCCAATTAGACCCAGGGGCAAGCAACGCCTAGCCAATTTCCAGAATGTAGAAACAACAGACTTTGGCATTGCCCTAGAGACGTTTAGCTCTCAATGCACTAGTGGAATGCCATAAGAAGGGAGAGTTGACTTCCTTAGTTCTACACAGTCTAAGTTGAATCTCCAAGGCGCTTTATTGTAATTGCCTCGTGCCTTATGGACACTCAGGGCTACTCAGTTGTTGAGGAAAGGATGACAAGGATTTCGAACTTCAGTGCGCGATCTTACGGTGGAAACTCGAGCACTAGAAGATGCTTATATCATTCAGGATTCCCAGATATGTTCCCGGAGGAATTACCAATGCCTCTTGAGTGAGTAGTAGAGTTTGCTATCGTTTTGGTTCCGAGAGCGGGACCCACTTCTAAGACCCCCTATGGAAAGGTATAGCAAGTGCATTGAACGAGTACTAGAGACCGATCATCTGATACTAACTGGGAAATAATCTTGAGCATAAGAATGAATGTTTGGGACCGATATATGATATGTACCGATGATTGAATGAAGCTACTATTAAGGACATGTAACTGCTATTTTGAATATATGATGACTTATTCAATCAGTCGTAAGGAGCCCGATATTTCCAGGAGCGACTTCTGTTCGGGTCACTATCAGTCTAGGTTCAAGTAGAGTGATGTGCAAAAGTCGACCTTCCGAAATGTGTAATGTTATTTCGAGATCATGTGTCATATGATCAGACCAACGCCCAGTGTTTCGTGGACCTTATGGATGAGGTGTCCAAGCCCTTTTGGCTACGCGCCTGGTGATGTTTATAGATGACGATCTAGTGTACCCTCTTGATTTGGCGACGAGCGAAATTTGTTGAGAGGGGTCCTAGAAACCTGGAGACAGGAAGGATTCTGTGTTCGTTTAGCAAATGCGAATTTCGACTCGAGGGAGGCCCGTTCATGGGACGTGTTGTATCTAAAACATGAATTGCCGTAGACCCCCAAGAAGACAGAGGCGATAGTAGAATGGACCAGACTGACTAGCAGCAGTGATACGATAGGCCATTCGTGGAGAAGTCCTCCTAACCTTAGGCACCGTAGTGGCCGATCGTTTAGTATAGTATGCCAATAAGTTAAGACCCCGCACCAGAGGCCTACTGGGTTATTACCAGACTTGCCTATCCTATGTGGAAATAAGAGCACCTAGCGACGGTTTTCGTTTCAGGTTCACCCCGTACGGTGAAGGGGTACGATCCTATTTGGGCATTGTAAATAGAGAGACCAAATCAACGCTTTTCCTCTCATTCAAGACCCGCACTACTTTCGCGAAACTCGCCGAGATGTGCATCGATGAGATAGTAAAGAGGCACGGAGCGCCCGTGTCGGCAGAATCAGACAGAGACTATCGCTTGTGGCAGAGTTGCATATAATGACCGCTATCAGGCGAGTAATCTGAAAGTGCCTTACGCAGCTATATACGAACGGGTAGACCCAGTTGTGGTGATAACATGAGAGAGAGAT